CATTTACTTATATATCACACTACATGAAAGGGAAAACCCCAACAAGCATAATAGGGCCCCTTTAATAAGTACTTTGATAGAAAGCATTGCTTATTCACACATTACCATTCTTCCAGATGTCTTTGGCTACCTCATGAATGGTAACCTTCTATTGGCTCAGTTGTTGAACTCTAGCAGATCTTGAATGAACTACATGGCTCATTAGCTGCAACAGACGCACTATGTTTACCAAGTAAAAGTATTTTTAGCAAGTGCTATATTGTGGTTTTTTTATAGCTTTTTCACTGAATTCAACTTGTTGCTGTGACTGAAAACTAAGTATTGAGCAGCGTGAGAGAATAAAAAGCCTGCTGGAACCAAAGCCAATCAAACATGATGGGCAATTACTAGTAAGACTAAAAAGGATAACAAATTGAAGAAAAAGGCACAACTTAAATAATAGCGTTGATGGGAGATACATTTTTCTTAGTTTTTGGACAGCTCCAATGCCACACACTATACTTTGACCTCTTGAATGTGAATATGAACACGTTCTGACCCAGACTGGAACAGATTTGGGTATACCGTCCGTTGTGAAAACCTGATTGTTTTAAAATCTGTCAATATTTATTTTTACCTTAGACAATTCTCAAGGTCATAAATATCTAACACAATCTGCTGTATCTATTGATAGGAGTTGGGTATCGTCGGGTTACCAGATGCATCAAACATGCATTATAATGTTTACATGTCTTCCTTTTCACTATTTCCTGCTATATGCTGTTTTGTTTTTCTTTAAAAGTAGCATTAGTGAGTCAGTCAGGATGTTGTTAGCTGTAAATATATTTAGCTTTGCAACTCTTAACCAGTAGCTTAACCACTTGGCTGGGTGATGGCTTCACCATCTGTACCTGACACACACATGCACACATTGCACGCCCACTCATTACACTGTTGCTCACACGTGTCACATTACTAGAGAGAAACACATGCAGATAGACAGTGTACTATGGAACCATAAATGTATGTACGAACAATAAAGAGCATGTACATGTACACAGGCTCGTATTGTCAAGGGGATTTCTCTTCCATTTACAGAACCTGGAGGCAACATTATTCAACATATCACTTCTTCCTGCGATCCAAATCTACCTGGCAAGCCTTGAGGATGTGTGTGTGTGTGTGTGTGTGTGTGTGTGTGTGTGTGTGTGTGTGTGTGTGTGTGTGTGTGTGTGTGTGTGTGTGTGTGTGTGTGTGTGTGTGTGTGTGCTCGTGCGTGCATGTTTCAGTGTGTGTTTCGGTCTGTGTCTGGCAGAGTCCTGGGCCAGCCTCAGTGAACAGATGGTCCTCCATAAGGTAATAATGACCCAAGACAAACTCTTGAATTGATTATGCCTTTGTGAGGGCATGGATACAAAGTATCACTGCCACTGAGAGGGGGGTCGAGAGGGCGGCCTGGGGGCTGCAGACAGAGGGGAACATCCAGTCTCAATCCAAGTACATGATGTATTCATTCAGAAAATCCTCAAGACAGACAATTTCCATAAAATTGCTGATTTGTTGAAGCAAAGATGTAATGGTAGGCTTGGCACGACTGGTTGGATGTCATTAACACCGTGGTCATTAATGTGGTTCCTTCTACTTTTGCCACACAGCATAAACTCATATTTAAAGATAATTATAGTTTCTTTCAATTTGGGAAGCATAAGCACTTAGATACTGTAATCGGACCGTTTCCAGACAAGCCACCAGATTATCCAGATGATTGATCAATTATCTCCGGGACCATTGTCTGTTGTATCTGAATCAAATCAAAGAAAAGCTTGCTTTGTTTCAAACTGAAGTTTCTTTCTAAGTTTTTGGCAGTAATTTCCCCAGTGTCTAATTTAGCAAATGTTCCCTCTTACTCTCCTCTTGAGTTCTGTTTTACATTTTTTCCTCAACAGCTGTTCACAGTGGAAATTATTTTTTCTTTCTTTAAACCATTATTTAACAGTGGGCATGACTCTTTTAATTACGTGGATTTGTTTACTATCTTCAAAAGACAAAAGTAACATATTTTACCTGAAGTGAAACTGAAAGTGATCGCACCTAAAAAGTCAGTGATTCCTTATTGCACTGGGGAAAAATGCTGAAAGTACCAAAATAAGTGGTTTAAGGAAAAATATAACTTGCTTTAAGTGTAACAGCATATTTTATAATTAATTTTTCAGATGCATGATTTAGTTACAACGGTCAGAAATCCAGAGGTGGGAAGTAGTGGAGTACAACATTTATTTGCTACTGTACTTAAGTGTATGTTTCTGGTATCAGTACTTTACTCCACTACTTTCTGAAGACTTTTTACTTTTACTTCTTACATTTTTAACACAAATACCTGTACGTTTCCTTTACATTTTACAGGTTTGTTACTTTAGTTTGAATGTGTGTTTGGTGGCGTGATCATTATTATTTAGAGTCATTGCGTGCCTATTGATTTGAACACGATCCGTGTATCCATCATTTCCTGATCTTCTCTAAAGAAGAGGGACCAATGAAAACGTTGTCATGTTGCCGTTGTTCAGCATGGAAACATTCATTAGCTAACAATGACATTATTGTTATTTAATATAAAGGGAGGTCAGGTACTCTTTAAAACAGCTGCTAGTTATGGGTACTTTTTATTTAAGGACATTTCAAAGCCCATACTTCTTTACTTTGACTTGAGTAAAGAGGTATAGTCAGTACTTCTACTTTTGCCAGAGTATTTTTGAACACGAGTATCTGTACTTCTACTTGAGAAAAGGATGTGTTTACTTTTGCCATCCCTTCAGAAATCGGATTTATTCACTTTCTACCACTTGGTGGAACGAGTATGTTTTTTTGTAAATTCCCACATTTAAAAATGATCTTGACAGTTGGCTCCCAGCAGGAGAAAGACATGTAAATGGAGGGCTTTTTAGAAATATTTACTACTAGAAAGACTGATAGAGAGCGGGAAAGATAGAGATGGCCCAATGTCAAAATCTCAGTCAACCCTGAGGCATTGGGTAATTTAGATATGAACACTTACCCTCAAGTATTCGGAGCAAAACGAGTGATCTGACTGCAGGGTGTATTAGTGGCCATTGGCAGTGTGTGCATAGCCAGGGCTGAGTAGTCATATCATTGCCAATGATTATACTATTACAAAACTAAAAGACTGAGTACATTTATTAGGCGAACCGAAACACAAAAAAATCTAAAATCAACTCATTTACCATCTGAATTTAAACAAGAAATATCAGCCTGTATGTTAACATGTTCTTCATAAAGGTGACATTATAACTTGTTTCCATTGTGCCCTAGTGACCCGATATCACAGGATTAATGTCATGATCTTGGTTTTTGTGTTTCATGTTTCCTGGTTTATTTTGAAATATATTTTCTCCTTGTCTCTTTTCTTGTTTTGCTTCCTTTCTTTGTGTATTCACGCCTTTGTGATTCTTTCCACCTGTGTGTGTGATCTCTTCTCTGCCAATGTGTCTTTAACGGCCCTCTTAAGCTGTGTCTTGTCTCTGTATTTAGTTCTGTACTGTTTATAGACAGATTCACCAAACGTATTTTCTAAAGACTGCTGACACAGCTTGAATTAAATCCAACATATTAATGAACATAGGTGGTTTAGAGATTATAAACAAGCCCGCAATGTGGCCATATTATCTACAATCAGGTTGTCAATAAATGTCCAGTTAATTACACTGTGAATTAAAAACCAAATGCTATTTTAATGTACTGATTCATTTATTTGTTCAACTAGATGCTTGCACCGTAAGCTAATAACAGTAGTGGATAAAATCGACTTCTGCCTAATGGGCTTTATTTGGAGTTTCTTTGTTTTTCTGGTCACCTGTGGCACACATCTGCAGCATACCTATGATGAACCATAACATCGAAGTGCATATCAGTTGTTTAGTAGTGGTTGTTAACATGTTGTTTTGTCCTTGGGCAAGATATACAGTTTATGGGCAAAACACTTCACCATAAATTGCTCCTGTGGGTATATTGTCCACAGTTTTGATATAGTACATGTCTGATATATCTAACATGTTAAGCTCCTTGAGAACTTATAAAAGTGCAGAAATAAATGCAATGAATATGAATTATTATTACACTTAACATCAGGCTCAGCCAAACCTCCTCACATATTGTCCTTCCCTTGCTCAAGAGTGCTCTCCTTATTATCTTTCACACTGGGAGTTTTTGTAAGGAATTATTTTGTCTAACTTGAGATCTCTATGAATATTCTCAGAGAACGACTGCAGGGCCGGGTGGGAAGATATCAGCAGAAAAAGCTGTTTCATAACAGCATTGAGATAGCCCGAGGGAGGAGAAGTAGGCTTTATTTTGTAATGCCCTCTACAACTTATATTGATCTGTCATGCCTCCCATTCCCAATTTGAGTCAGGTCTCTTTTTTCATTATCGTGCCTGTTATTCTTTCTATATGTTGTCATGTTGGCAAAAGAGCATGCCTTTGACAAATGTATGTATTTCTTTAATAAAGTATAATCTAACATAATGTTATCTAATCTATGAGGTAAATTCATAGAATTAGTTCACAAACTCATTGTTGGGTATTTTTATGTTACCATTATCTAAGTTTTAAAGACAAGCAAGCACATTTAAAAGAGTCACACTAGTGTCCTGATATGATTTTATTTTTTAAAGTTCTCAAAGACAGTTAGACACATACTGTACAATTTGCACTAGTTCACTTTTGTTTTAATCTCCCCCTCTTTTCTATTGTAGGCAGTTAGAAAGTGACGTTTTCAATGGAATGGCCTTAAACTGTAAATTGCTAGTAGAGAAGTTAACAGACACCTCCTTGCTTTGTAGGATGTCCCCACCTAATTATCCTTTTAAATGTTTGTCCAATTAAAGTTAAGGTACCTTAAGCATGGCTTTGGGCATTCTGTAGTCAGAATGCTAGAAAATATGAAGTTTAAGTACCCGTTTTTTTTGTTATATAGGGAGAGTGGGGTAATTTGTGCCAAGGGGCAAGTAGTGCCACCCCTGTTATCTAGAAAACCATAGAAGAAGTTGGTCATGTGACCACATCTTTTTGAAGAGGCATCCATTTCAATCATCCTGCAAAGAAGAGAGACACATGGCTTGAGAGGTAAGCACATTTAAGTTCAAAAAAAAATGTTTTGCCCTCCAAAGTAAAATTTCTATGATCAAGGTTTTTTGATTGCTGTGTTTGAACAATTTAGAGAACTTTGAAAACAGTTCACACATGTTTTAGTGCTTTAGTAAGCTACACCATGAGTCTATACAGTTAGCATGATGCTAGCTCAAAACAGCTGGGAGATGCATTTTTTTCAAAATGGTGGGCTTGGGGTAATTTGTGCCAAAGGGCCTGGGGTAAGTTGTGCCAGTGGCACAACTTACCCAAACTTATGATTATTTACTATATATTACTTTATTGTATTGTATTGTTATTGTATTCTTACATTTGATCACTAAAACTATGTGACATTCTTAATTTTAGACCAAAATCCATCATGCCACGCAAATACAAAAGGAAGACAGACAGGGTTTCAACTCCTCTTGAGGAGTTGGAAAGAGCAGTGAAAGAGGTGCAACAGGGGAAGACCATACGTCTTCTTCCCTTGCCAAAAGCCACATAAAGAAAAAAAAAATTGTAAGAAAGAAAGTGAAAACAAGAATCGTGACCGACACACCTGAGAAGATGGAGTTGGAGAAGGCTCACAAAGAAAAAGAAGATAAAAAGGCTGAACAGGAAAAGAAAAAGAATGAAAGAGAGAAGAAAAGGGCTCTGAAAGCTGCAAATCAAACCAAAACCAAGAAAAAAACAGCTGTGTACAGTAGCTCAGAAGAAAGCTCCACCACCAATGATGAGGCAGAAGATGGCCTGGAGAAGACACACAGCAGNGCGCTAGGCCTTGTTTAAGCAAATTGGCCACACCACAAAACTTGGTGGTACAGCCAGAAGGGAACAGAAGTTCATATTTCCCTGCAGCATTGGACAAGTAGGATGTTAGGTGTTCATAGGCCTTGTTATAGAAAAGTGGCCTTTGATGTTGTTACAACTTTAAATAAACATTAAATAAATAATTTTGTATTGAATTTGTCTTGCTTTTATATAGCATTATTGTTTGTGAGATTAAAATGATCTGTTTTACTTCAATTATCAATGGCACAATTTACCCCAGTGTATTGTCTCTAATGGCACAACTTACCCCGCACCGGGGGCAAGTTGTGCCACAAAACCACTTTTTTTTCTAAAGCTATATTTCTCAAACAGTTTATTTAAGATCCGAAGTGATTGTTCCCAGGGATGCACAACATCCTAAACTATATGTACATATTTTAGTTGGAGGCATTACTGTAATCCCCTTGCTTTAAAGGCACTTTAAGTAAAAATTGGCACTACTTACCCCACTCTCCCTATAAATGAAGCTGTGGTTTATTAAATGAACAGAGTTGGAGATTGAGTTGAAGAGAGAAAGATTTTAGCAGTGGGTATGCTTGCATGCGTATCAAATTCTGAGGTTCAAGGACTTTGAATCCACAGTCACTCATTACAGGATCCAGAGGGGCTAAAGTCCTCTGAATTCCTCAGCAAACATTCTTTGAAAACAGGCCGTATATCAGCATTTCCCCCAGACTGGTTTCCTGGCAGAGTGCAAAAGGCCTCTGAAGTGGCAGGCAAAACTCTCCACTGAATCCAATACTAATGAAATTCTGTGATACTGCATCTCTACCACATAACTCTAAACTGTCCACTGAAACCGGTACAAATGAAATTGTATGAATCAACATTTAAACCATATGGCACTACACTGCCCACTGAATCCGATGCTAACGAAATCATCTGAAACAGCATTTTGACCAATAACTCTCTATTGTGGGATGCTAGTTCTTCTGGACATCAAATATTTGCCTGTCTGTTCAGCTGGAAACACTACAGTGGACTACAAACCACAGTCATATATTTTATATTTCAAGGCTTTAGTAAACAGAAATAATGCAACGACATGTTATCACATGCTTCAAATGCTAACTGAGAATTAGCTAAATGACAAGAAAGGCAAATAATCAAGAACAAAAAGTAAGCTCAAGACTTTGGCACACTGAATTAGTCTTCAGTTTCCAGATTTATGATACATCTATTGAAATATTTGTCTGTGACTGTAGGAAAGTCATAAAACTATCTAGCGTTTACTAGTTTGAGTAAACAGAACACATGCTCTCCAGTACAGGTTAGCTCTGAGTCTTGCGATGCTAATGTAAACACCGACCATATTACTTCCAAAACAGTCGGGCATTGTTTCTGATAGCAACTTTCTGATAGTGCCGTGGGTCCATATTTCAGATATTACGTCCTATGACGCAAATCTGGATCAGCTCCGTTGTACCCCTGTTTTTAGAGATTTGGGTACGGAGGAAAAGAGAGAGAGTTTTATTTTCTGACGCTGCGTGAGTTCCCTGACACACCGGGGACACATATTTATGTATAAAAGACATACAAAAGTGCATGTTGCATGATAGGTCCCCTTTAAATAAAACACTCCATTAAATGTGTACTTTCTAATAGAATTGGATGAATGTGAAAAAGATAGAGCCAAATTGCTTTTTCCTTATCCAAAACAAGAGCGTATGGACAGAGGTTGTTAAAGTACATAATGTAAAGCCATTGTAAACATATTGACTTTGAATCTTTGTTAATTCCATACTAAAACTCTGCAAATTTGTATTTGAAAAACCAAAATGAATTGTATTGTATTTATGCTTCCTTTGTATCGAGAGGTGAAATGTTACATAAGATTTTGAACTGTTTGACATTTCTTGGATAATTAAGACTTTGTGTCCTGTGGCTTTGCAGCATCAAACTCTGACCGTGATCGTGTCGGTGTGACCCATTTCCCAGCCTGAAAAAGAGCTGGCAGCCACAGTGCGCCTGCTGAGCTCCGGGGCAGTTGGCTGCTGCTGAGACACTGTCTGGTAATGTGTTGGCTGGGACACTGTTAACTTGGGCTGGGATCTGTCTCCATGGCCATCTGGGCTGCTGGTCCCTCTAGTTCCCAGACTTTGATCTTTTCATCTCCATCTGTCTCACTGACTTGACCCAATGACTGACTTTGTATGCATCCGTCTCACTGACTTTAGATCCTTTTAGCTGACTGACTGGGAGGCTGACTGAATCTATGCTCTTTGATTGACTCATGAAATGGTTTATCTCTCTGAAACGGAGTGTTGTATCACCATGCTATTGTCAGTGCACCATCTCCTAAAGGCAAAGTCAGTTGCCACACTATGGAACTATTGAGTTGATAAACAACTTCCAATTATTCCTTTTAAAGCCTCCGTCAGAGCTGTCCCAGTTCAATACAAAGTAGGAATGAGCCCAGTAAGGGTCAGCCAGCCCACCCACTGAGACATTTATAAATATGTGTTGTGGTTCATTAGGAAACTGCCCCAGGACAAATTGGAATATGGCGGGCTGCCACAGTCTAGATGACAACCACTTTTTTTTACTCTGAACAGCCTTTTAAATACATACATTACAGACTACGACTGTAATCAACCAAAGAAAGACTCTTGGCTGACGGAAATACTACCTTCTAACCCTAATCCACTGGCCCTAGCTAAATGCATCAAATAAATGCATCACAAGTGTGAATCAATTCAGAGAGAAATTCCCTCGAGAGGAATCTTTGGGATTTTAGCCTTTGCAGACCATGTACATGCACAAAAAATATTATAACACACTAAAAGAAAGGGAAAACCCAAAAAGGATAACAGGGACTCTGAACATACTTTCTCTTGACCACCAAAGAGTTTACATTGGGCGATTCTATTATCTGCAAAGTCTCTCATGCCTGAATCTTGACTCTTGATACATTTGCAGTGTTTGGGCTTTTGAATGCATGTTTCTTGCTTCCTCCCTGATTGTGTTTTTCTTTCTTTTTCAGTTTCAGCAAATCATACTGTTTCTTGCAAAATACAGGTGTTGACCAGTGAGCAATAGGGTATGGAATATTATGGTAATACTCGTTAAAACTTTCTTTCAAATTGGTGTCATTAATTCTCCATGATCTTAATTACAGTAATAGTGACACAAGTGTAATTTATACATGTTCTGGATCCCTGGAGGGGAGGAAGAGAAAGAGGAGACAAAGGAGAGTGATGGTGGAGGAGAGAAATGAAGGGCAACAAGAGGGCTGCGCATGGGGCGGAGTGTTTGTGGAGTAGGTTGGTGGTAAACAATACAACAGGGGCACATTTGAGCAAGGTATTTTTCTCCGGGAAATTCCTTAATGAAATAATCAACTCTCTCTGAGTAAGATGGATTTAGCCTGGACCCTGTTATTAATCACTGGCACTAGAAAACCCAAATACAGTGAATTAAATTATCTTGCACGGAAGTTCATTTCCTAATTTCCATGCTTTATTGGCTGGCCATAATAAACCATTAAGCACTAACAAGGAAACAAAATATGACGCAATAAGGAAAATCCATTTAAATTGATGGACAAATTAGTAACTGTTAGAGGGATGTGGGTGTTGGTTCTTCGTTTCATAGCTACACGGTTGTTTGGTTAATTGGCTGATACAGTGCAATTAACAGGGGGATGATAAACAGTGATTATTCTGCAGGAATAAACAGGCTATTTAAAGGTCCCATGTCATGGCCATTTCTACTGCTCATAATTTCATTGTGGAGGTATACTAGAATCGATTTATATTGTGCAATTGTCCAAACTCACATTGGTTTCTCATACAGCATCTCTGTATAGTATGTGTATTCACTCTCTGTCCTAAATGGCTTGTTGGAGCTTCTGCCCCTCCACCCTGTGAGCCCACTTTGCTCTGATTGGTCAGCTCGCTCACTCTGTTCTGATGAGTCTACCACTATGGTCTACACCGTTACAGCGGAATATTATAACACATAATCACTGATTATGTGTTATAATGGCGTTAGCAACCAGACAGATGAGAATGCCTCATGAGGTCTGGGTGGCGTGTTGGCGGGACGTTGCGCGGCTTGTTGCTGCGAGGAGCGGACAGTGTGAGCTGGGTTCATTCCCTGCTTGCTGCGTGGGGCCTGCGAGATAGCGAGACAGTGCGAGTGGACGCGGGAAGGGGGGGATGCTGAGGGGGCTGCAGCACCCCCATCTGCGAGGCTCCACTAGCACACCACAGTTTTGCCGCTGAGAGAGTGTGTGTGTGTGTGTGTGTGTGTGTGTGTGTGTGTGTGTGTGTGTGTGTGAGTGTGAGTGTGTGAGTGTGAGTGTGTGTGTGTGTGTATCTGTGTGTGTGTATGTGTG